GAGAGGACTGGGTCTAGTTGCGTGTTTATTTCGTGTTCGTGGTACACGCGAGAACAACTCACTTAGTGAAAATTTGTGTAATTTTCAAAACATTCGAATCTTTATTGATACTCATTCTTACAACTGGATATTTATATAAAGATGAAAGGCCATGTATGATTTCTTTGCATGATATTATGTTAATCAATGTTTTAATTGCAAAAGGTTTGTACCTTGAGGTATAGAATCTGAAGTATTATTATTTTCTTTACTTTAGTTCGATTCAGTCATGTGCTGCATGCACACAAGTATTTAACAAATGTCTGGTGTTCAAATACTCGTAGGAATTCCTTTGGAAAATATAGTTAAAGCTTCAAATATAGCATGTTGCTTAACTAAAATCATACCATAAATCCTCTATGAAAGTATTAAGGTTTATATATAAGCTCAAGTCTTAAATAATCATCCTCTGTAATTAAGTCCCCTTTTCTGAAGAAGGAAATTTAGTACCCCATACAAACTTGTGTTGAAAACTCAAAACATGTATAATTTCCCCTCCCTATGGGGCTAAAATATTGGTGATTCTTAGACCTTTCCCCCAGGGCTCATCATGTAAAGACCTTCCATTTTTCAGAATGGTGATTATTTCTAAGTAAAACATGGGTAGTTCAAAAACTTGAAATTACTATTGAGTAAGCTACAATTGAAAGGACCAATTCATTGCTCCACTTTAATTTTAAAAAACAAAAGATGAACAGCAAGATGCATGCGTGGTGCTGGTATGTCTCGCCATAACAAGACATTTGGTAGGATAACGTGACTTATAATATGCAGTAGTTTTATCATTTCTCACTATCCTTCAACCTTTCATTTTTGTTACTGTGCCATTGCTTATCCGAACTCCTAAACTCTCCTTCATTCTCTTCTGCAAAATTCACCGAACTCCTAAACTCTCCTTCATTCTCCTCTGCAAATTCTACCTATACACCCCCTTTAAAAAACCCTGCTGAAGAAGACTGTTAGGTCGAAACGCGTAAAGGGTTGCCATTCCTTTTCTCTCCCTTATCTCTCTAAATCGTTTCCAAATAACCAATTCACCCCTCCTTCAGGTTCTATAATCGTTATTGCCGTAATTTATCACATACTGCAGTTCATACTATTGAAGTTGAAGTAAATAACAATAAATTTGAATACTGGTCCTATGAATGATTTAGGTTACACAATGTCTCACACCAGTACTTGTCCCATTACCTATTTACACCAAAACTAAGGTCAATGAGACTTGTTATTGTGAAACATGTCACACCTACAATCGCGTGCAAAAATAATGAGACTCTTCACATTTTGGTGATCTTTTTCACGTGCGTGCCCCCCTCCCCCCATTAACAATGTTGAAAACATATTATTTGATAAGCCCTGACCTCAAAATCGTTTTAACAACATTGCACAAGGGGGGGGGCAAGAAGCATTGTTACAGCAGGGATAGGGCCAATAAACTGCTTGTCTGAAGAATTTTTGCACGCGATTCAATCGCGTGCAAAAATAATGAGACTCTTCACATTTTGGTGATCTTTTTCACGTGCGTGCCCCCCTCCCCCCATTAATTTAACAATGTTGAAAACATATTATTTGATAAGCCCTGACCTCAAAATCGTTTTAACAACATTGCACAAGGGGGGGGGGGGCAAGAAGCATTGTTACAGCAAGGAGAGGGCCAATAAACTGCTTGTCTCAAGAATTTTTGCACGCGATTGTAG